TGACATTTCAAAAGAATACCAAAGAAGCTTAAAAATTTGTAAGCTTGTCACCAAATCAGGACTCCAAAATACAAGCATTTTGCTACAACAGTAGTAATGTAAAAACAGTCCTTCATTTAAAAGTTGGGGGAAAAGTGAAAAAAGAAGTATGTTCAACACTTTCTTATTTAAAAGTGTTTGGCCAAATACTTGTATAACTGAATTAAAAAAATGTGCTAATGTCTGATAACTAAAGAAAAGCAGAATGACAGAATCCAATCCTGTGAGTCAGCTACATATTGACAATATTTAAAGGAGACTCAACTTTCTTGTGACTTACTAAAATTTAATACAAAGAAACAGTTAATAACTAGTACTTCTGTCCTCTGTATGTAGTAAGTACACCTCCAAAACAGTACTACTCAGAAGACTTAATGTACTTAATCTGCATTTATAAATATACATTAAAAAAAAAAAAAAATGCAACCACTGCCATGGAGTCAGATCCGACTCATAGCGACCCCTCCATGGGTTTCCAAGGCGGAATCACTATGGAAGTAGATTGCCCAACCTTCCTTCCAAAGGAGTGGCTGGGGGGTTTGAACTGCCAGCCTTCTGGTTAGCAGTCAAATGCCTTAGGCACTATACCACCAGAGCTCCCATAAATATACATATACTATTGTAAATATACGGAGCTCTGGTGGATAGTGCCTAAGGCATCTGGCTGCTAACCAGAAGCTCGGCAGTTCAAACCACCAGCTGCTCCAGGGAAAGAAGATGAGGCAATCTACTTCTGTAAAGATTTATAGCCTTGGAAACCCAATGGGAGTCGCTATGAATCAGAAGCTACTTGATAGCAGTGAGTTTGGTTTCTATATTATAAATGAACATATTTATAAATACTTTATCAAACACTAAACACTATGTATAAGGAGCTCTGGTGGCATTAGTGGATAAGGCATTTGTCTGCTAAGCAGAAGGTCATCAGTTCAAACCCACCAGCTGTTCCATGGGAGGGAGATGAGGTGATCTACTTCTGTAAAGATTTATAGCCTTAGAAACCCAATGGGAGTTGCTATGAATTGGAATTGATTTGATGGCAATGGGTTTGGTTTTCTTTCTTTTTTTTTTTTTAATGCAATGTATAATCCTTCAACCCATTATGAAGGAACAATTAGCAGAAGAGAACACCAGAGTAGAGAACTACATAGAAAAGAGAGAGCTACACAGAGACAGCATTAAAAGATTACAGAGGGTTCCTCTCAAGACTTCATATGAGGAAACTATACAAAGCTAGCAAAGGATCATTAGAAGCAGCAGAATCACTGCAGGAGCTGACACAATGTCACAAGAGTTCTGATTTCCACTACCCCTAGTGGAAAACCTTGTCATATATGGGACATTAGGCCAATAACTGAGACATGAAGAACTTACACTTCCTTCCTCCTCTCAACTATAGTGTATATACTCAAGTATTATTGAGTTTGTCTTAAGGAGCCCTGGTGGCACAGCAGTTAAGCAGTTTAGCTGCTAACTAAAAGGTCAGTGGTTCAAACCCATTGTCCATAGGAGATTCCCATGGTTCAGTCCTTATTCTGTGTCATAGGGTCACTATGAGTCCCAATCTACTTAACAACAGTGGGGTTATTGCTTTTTTTTTTTTTTTTGAAGGGGGGATGCAAATAGTTAGGCATTCAGCTGCTGACAGACAGGTCAGTGGTTAAGACCCACTTTTCACAGGAGATTCCTATGGTTCAATACTCTGTACTATAAGGTCACTATGAATTGAAATCTACTCAACAGCAATGGGTTTTATTTTTTGGGGGGAGGGGAGCGGGAGACAACTGGTCAGCACCTGGCTGCTAACCAAAAGCTCAGTGGTTCAAATTTACTAGCTGCTCCATGGGAGAAAAGACTGGCACTCTACTCCTGTAAAGATTACAACCTTGGGAACTCTGTGTGGTTTGTCTTACAGGGTCACTATCAGTTGAAATCTACTCTGTGTCAATGGGAGTGTCCATCTGTTCTTTCCTGTCCAGGGATGTCAGGCAGTTGATTTTTTTTTTTTTGTAATATATACAGGGTTTTTGGTTTTTTTTTTTGGCAAATGAGTCATGTGGTAGGGTCTTCCTCCATCATTACCAGATGTGTGTGTCCCATACCTGAGGAAATAACACAATATTTTCACCATGAAAAAAACTCTCTGGCTGCTGTGAAAGGTATGGTCTTAAGGTGGCTAGAGATAGAGGGAGATACATAACAGTTCAGGAAAGAAAGTCTGTTTAAGAATAAACACCTGACGTCTCTTGGTTTATAAAAATTTTATTGAAAACAATTGTAATACTTTTTGAAAATACTGAAAGATGTCCAAATCTCATTTCATCACCTGCTGGCATTATAAACTGCTTAATCTGTTTAAAATTCTCAAACATCTAGAAGTCATCTAATCTAACCTTTAGGTATAAACCAGAAAAACCACACCCACTGCCATTGAGTCAATTCCAATTCGTAGTGCCCCCCATTGCACTTCCTAGACAGTAATCTTTACTGAAGTCTTCCTTCCGTGGAGTGGCTGGTAGGTTTGAACCACCAGCCTCCTGGTTAGCAGTCAAATGCCTTAGGCGCTACGCTACCAGAGCTCCTCAACCTTAACTAAATCACCTCTTGACTAGCTATTGTCAAGCTGATTCCATGTGTGTTAAAGTAGAACTGTACTCCATAAACAGTTTTTAAGGCTGTGACCTTTCAGAAGCAGATTGCCAGGCCTTTCTTCCTAGGCAATTCTGGGTGGGTTCAAACAGCCAACCTTTAAGTTAGTAGCTACGTGCTTAACCATTTGTATCAACCAGGGACTTCTAAATCACCTCTGTTAATTGTTGCTGTTGTTGTTATGTGTCAACAAGTTGATGCCAACTAGTAATAACCCTGTAGGACAGAGTAGAACAGCCCCACAGGATTTCCAAGGCTGTAATCTTTACAAAGGAGCTCTGGTGGCGTAGTGCCTAAGGCACTTGACTGCTAACCAGAAGGCTGGCGGTTCAAACCAACCAGCCATTCCTCGGAAGGAAGGTTGGGCAATCTACTTGCCATAGTGATACCGCCTCAGAAGCCCAAGGTACGGCTGCTGTGAGTCAGATGTGACTCCACAACAGTAAATTTTTAATCTTTACAAAAGTAGATTGCCACATTTTTCTCCTGCAGAGTGGCTGATGGGTTTGAACTGTGACCTTTCCATTAGCAGCCAAGTGTTTAATCACTGCACCATCTCTAATCCCTCAAATTTCCAGAAAACCACATTTTATTAGGTTTTTCAATAGATTATTTCTGCATTTTATACTTATATATATTGCCTGCTAAATGCTGTAGCATTAAAACAAAGAAAAGTATGCCCTTTTTCTTAATAATTTATTTTTATTTTGTTGTTGAGAATATACACACCAGACCATAAACCAACTCACAATTTCTTGCTTATTCCTTCTTATAGTTACTATGTTCTTTATTTATTATTTATCAAGATTGACAAAGACACTGAATCTTTTCCCCACCCAATATTTAAAAGTATAATCATGCTCTTTCTTTCATTAAATTATTTGGGGCGGAGGCGGGTAAGTAGTACCTCACCTGATATTCCCCTAGGTCAACACTGTATGAATATTTCTCATAATCTACAGTTTTAATACAAAACTTTTTGTTGTGATACAGAATCAAAAGACTATTAAAGCTTGCTTTGATTCTTGACCTGGATGTTGCTTGCATGAATGTGTTTAGTTTGTGAAAAATTCACTGAACTGTTACTTGCGATATATACTTTTCTGTATCTATATCATACCTCGGGGAGCTCTGGTAGCATAGTGGCTAAAGGTACTTGACTGCTAACCAGAAGACTGGCGGTTCAAACCCACCAGCCACTCCTCGGAAGGAAGATGGGGCAATCTACTTCTGTAGTGATACTGCCTCGGAAACCCAAGGAGAGGTCGCTATGAGTCGGGTCTGACTCGACGGCACATAACAACAACAACAACATATCATACCTCAATTAAAAAAAAACCTAAACTCTAAGAAAGTTCAACTACGTCTATGGTCTGTGTCCTCTCTATAATGACAATTATTCCCACAGGAAGAATTCACAATAAACCCTTTTGTTTTAACAAATCTGATGATTCACAAAATATCACCTAACTATGCAAATTTAAAGAATGTACTAGGAGAAACTTGAAACAAATAATAATTTACTATTACAGTGTAGGGTATGTCACTTTTATTAAAATAAAAGGGTTTATCAATACTTATCATATGCTATAAGTAGAATATCTAAAGAATATGGTGTACGATCCTATAATGCTTTAAACAATATCTATAATTGAACAATAGTATAACTTTTTAGACGATTTGTAACAATGGGACAAAATGAACCTATTAAATTGAATGAGGAAAAAATGTACTTTTTAATCAGCAAAATACCATAATCTCAAAACTTTTATCATTTTGTTGAAATTTAAGATTGTTGTTGTTATGTGCCCTTGAGTAGGATCTGACTCATAGTGACCCCTCCTTGGGTTTCCAAGGAAGTATCACTAAGGAAGTAGACTGCCCAACCTTCCTTCCAAGGAGTGGCTGGTGGGTTTGAACCAGTAACCTTCTGGTTAGCAGTCAAATGCCTTAGGCACTATGCCACCAGAGCTCCTGTACTTGGTGAAATTTAAGGAGACATTTATATTTTCAAACACGACATCTCTGTTTTAAATAAATTACCCAAATATTTTAAAAAATCCTCCTTTGTTTTATGGCAGCATGATTTAAGAAAAGCTATTCCTAAATAAATCACTATATAAGATGACCTGGGAAGCTCAAATAAAATTCCATTCTAATATTCTACTTGATCCTTGGTTTATACACTAAAAATCACATTATTTATTATGTTGCATACTTATTCTTCTGGTAGGTTTTAACAAATATCCCTAATAATTTGTTAGCCATATGCATATATATAAAAATCTTTAATTATTTAGCTAGTTACTTACTGAGAGCCATGCAAGGGATTCCATGATTCGATGTTCACATCTTTCTAAATGTTTTATCATTTCTCTTGTCAAGTTGGCTTCTGCTTTGATAAAACTTTCAATCACTTTGTAAAAATCAAAGGCTTTTAAATTAAGTACATTCAGAATCCATGGGAAGGACAAATCTGTTCCAGAATCAAGATTCTGAGATGTACTTCCTAAAAATGAAAGAAGAAATGTAACTTAGGTATGAAATGTCAAGCCTCAAACTAGGTATTTTTAGGTTGGAAGGTCGTGTTAAACAAAGACTTAAAACACAGTGAAAGGCTTAAAAAAATTCTTTTAGAGAAGAAGAATTGTTTATTTTGTAGTTCATTGACTTCTAGGAAGTAAGCTTACAAATTTTGGGTGATTGTGCACATATTTTTTTTCCTAGAGAGAGGGCTCATAGCTTTCATCAAATTTTCAGAGATTTAAATGCTTTAAAACTTTTATCACAGTTCCTAACAGCTTTAATATTACATCAGTAAGGCATTATTAGCACATCCATTTTAATTCACTCATTGATCCTCTGGGTGGAAAGAAGGGTTATGTGATTTTACTAATTTGATTAGTTAGAAAATGGTATCTCTTTTAAATGTGCATTTCATGGTTATTAATGAGAATTCACAGTTTTCCATATTTGTTTACTAATTTAAATTCCTCTTATTATTTGTGTACTTATATCCTTAGTTAATTATTATTCTTTTGATTTTATATAAATATGTTTCAAATTATATTTAAACAAAACAAAACCTTAAACACTCATTGAACTTTGTTCTATGCATTGTGAATTCTAGCTCCAACTGTTGGTCTTGTGACCACAGAATCCACAGCAGAACTTCTGTATCAGGTATCACTAGAGGCTGCTCTTTAACACTCCTTTGGCACCATACAATATCACAAGTACTGAAGGAGTTCTAATAGGTACTTTCCCTGGATTCAGTATGCCCAACCTAGGAGCATAGTAAAACACTATCCCCAACGTAATCTGAAATAATTCAGATAATAAGCCACTTAAAAGCCTTATGACCAATTATATTCTTCAGTATATACTAATATAATATATACATTTCTGCTCCTTAACTCCAAAAAAACACACCATACCTTAGGAAATCTCTTAACTTTAAATGGAACCAAAATGTTTATTTACAAAAATTTAACTTACTGCTGTAGGTAGCCATCACAACCTCAAGAGCACACGCCAACAAGGACTTATGAAAGATGTTGTCATTCAGGAGTTTACTAAGGGGGGAAAATATTTTAAACCATTAATTTTTTTTAAAATAAGTTTTTTTTTTTTTTTTTTTTAACTAAAACTAAAAAACTTACCTAAAGTTTTGAATGGATAATCGTTCTTCTTCCTAAACAGAAAAAATTTTTAAGAAGTTTAACTGAAAACTCATTTGCGCCAGCACCAAACTTTTTTTCTATTATGTTCTTTTTAACTTACTGATTTAAGCATAGATTCCATTACTCGGTAATACAATCGAACTCCAAGTTTGTATCTCTAAAAACAAACAAGCAAAAGTATAAGATCATAATACTTTAGAAAACCACAACTACTAATTTTCTAGAAGTCTTTTTCTTCAAACAACTTCTGACCTTTCTTAGCTACCAAGAGATCCCAAAAGCTACCTTGTCTAGAACTCAAAAGCCTTAAGTATAAAGTGGTAGTTAATATTCCTAATAATTGAGAGGCATGTTTAGTACTTGGTTTTCCTTCACTCTATTTCAGTCTACATCATTCAACAGATACAGATTCTAAAAATATATTATGTGTCTCATACTACTCTAAGCACTTTTAATACCTAATGCAATAATTCTTGTGACTTAGGTATTTTTAAGATAGCTGCCAAGCTTAGGAGCATAGTCTCTGACTGTAAAACTTAACAAAATTGGCACAGGCAAAATGCAAACCAAATTGACCTTATCAGCAAAAAGTTTTAACCAAGTAACTGTTGTTGTTGTCATGTGCCGTCAAGTCGGCCCCGACTCATAATAGCGACCCCTCCTTGAGTTTCTGAGGCAGTATCACTACGGAAGTAG